GCCCTCGTTCCCACAATTCTCTTTCTAGAGGGAAGTGAGCTCACGCCAATTGTGGCTTCAATGAATTCTTTAATCTGGGGAAGCAGAGGGAAGAGGAAGTGTCTGTGCTGCTGGTGACACATCTGCACCTTCTCCTCTAGCCCATGGTCTCCACCCAACATCAACCACGTGCAGGAGCTCCTAAGCCTGCTGAAGTCTGCTGACACAACTGGCCTATAGCAGGTTAGCTGGTTTGTGGCTCAGAGGCCTACTATTTTGGATCTTCCCTGTGCCTGATTCCCACCGGTGCTGAGTATTTTGTCCAGATGCAGAAAGTAGTGGATTAACTACACATCTGTAAAATGCCTGTCTGCCTGTCTCAAGGCTCTTCACTGGATGAAAATGGCTTCCTGTGCTTGAGTAGAGGAAGTATGAAGGAGAGGGAGCAATGTATAAATCCACATTTTAAAACCCAGGAGCCCTTCAGCTCTTTTCACTGTTCACTTTTAGAAAACAAGACCCCTTATTTAGGACTGAATCCAAAATGACCTTGAAAGCTAGTTCAAAAAGCTAGTTATAGCCTTATACAAGGTACCTGGGGCCCTATCAAGCTTATCAAAGAAGCCAGGAACATCAGCCATTTATTTGCACAATCTGTCCGTGGAAATACATATATTTATATATCATTTGATGTCTGAATAACCAGAACACAATTTAATCTACAACCTGTCTTTGGAAGGGACCTATTACTACATCAATTTTATACAAGGAAAGAATTGCAGCAGAGATTAAATGACTTGCCAGAACAAAACAACAAATCAGTGGCCAACTTGCTTGAGGACAGAAATATTGATGTTAAATATTTATATTCAAAGTGATGTTATGTAGAAATTTGGAAAATGGGGTCCGCAACAGACCCCATCTAGTGATCTGTCTACAAAGGGAGGTGGGGAGGAATGCAACAACCACCACCATGGGGCCAGGGAATATGGTTATACTTACGGGTCTACTCAATTTGTGACTGTGTGGATTTCTTGGAAACAGTGAAATCAGAGATTGTCCACAAAATCAACTTAAAAAAAAAAATCTTAATAAAAATAAAAAGCTGGCTCCCCAGTGGGGGGCCAGTGGTCCTCACTGCTGCTGTGGCCCAGCCCAGGGGGAAGGTGCCAGCTGGCAAGGTGGCACAAAGGGCAGCAGACAAGACGGTGGCCGCTCCCTTGTTCTCTCTCACCTGCCAGGGCCTCTTCACCCATCAGCACCGAGGGGCATGGCTGCACAATGGGCAGCCAGCAGACAACAGGGCAGCCTCCCCGTCGTCCCTCCTCCTCCGCCAGGGCCTCTGTGTCAACCAGCACCGAGGAGCCCGCTGATCACATCCGGGAAATATCTGCGGAGCTTGCTCTTTATGCCACCATCAATTGCAAAATTTGTTTAGTCTCGCCACGATTTAAGCAGGTCCCTAGTTATAGCGCAACAAAAAGGCACGTGTGTGGATGAGACCAGTCTACAGCATAACCAAGGCCTTTAAGTCGGACAGATTTTGATAGTGCAGAGAAGGAGTTTGGAGGTTACCGTATTTGTCCGTTATCAAAAGAGAGGCAAGGAATTTTGTGGCCGCATCTATTGAGCCAACTGTTTAGTGGAGAGAATGGTTGGACAAGCTTTCAGGTATCAAGTGCCCTTCCTCAAGTCCCCTGATGATCCAAAGGGGACATTTCCTATGCAGGTTTGACATCACAGGTATATGAAATGCATGAGATGTGAAGTATACCTGGCTCTCACAACACACCAGACAGAAATTAATTTAGCCTGCCAGCATGTGGTTCTCACACAGTTATTTCAGTACTCTGAAAATGTTCCTGCTTGAATGTGGCTGCCATCCTGAACGTATGGACAAGCTGCTTCCTCCAACCCCAGACTTTTCTGTGGTGACTTTATAGTTTGCAACAAACTTGTCTGAACACAGCAGCAATGTTTTTTTCTAAGGAAATCTGAACTCCAAAAGGAAGAAACAAGGCCAGGGGCTGTCAGCCTCTCCCAGATTATGCTGCCAGCCAGCGTCTTCTTACTTAATGCCATGCAACTCCTAAATAGGATTCAGACGTGTTTACAAATGGCAGCTCCCAGGGACAAAGTACCCCCTGACTAAGCAAAGGGTGGAAACGTTTCCTCCTAGAAGTGAGAAAGTCTTGCATTGTGCAGCTGCTGAGGTTGGCAGGTTTGGTTTTGTTTAACTAAAGCTCATTCCCTCTCAGAGGCAGTGCAGCTTCTCAGAGAAAATAAGTAGGCTGGAAAAAAAACAACAACCCAGAGGCTTGAGACAGAGAACCTGGAGTGAAGCGAGCTAAAATGTAAACAGAAAGGCAAGAGCAAGACAGATGGGGTCAGCAGGGCAAGGCTGGGACATTGTTTTGAGCAGGGTGTGCATGTGTTACTGCAGGTACAGTAACCCAGCCCCAGAGAAGGAGGGCAAGGAGGGAACAGCCGGGGGGGGGGGAGGGGGGGGCCGCGGCGGAACGG